AATTGAAGAAATGGACCAGACGGTATCCAATCTGTGCGGTTCCGGTACTATACTGAAATATTCTCCATCGTGCACCTGAATCAAGTAAACCGGTGCTAATTGGGCAAATGCTTCCTTAATGGTGGCTGGCACTAAGTGTCCCAAGAAAGCTTCCTCTTAGTTTTATCCGATAGCTTCTGCATCATCTGAATTGAAAGAAAGGCACCACTCACCAAACCCATGCCACCAAACCATGCCGCATTCGCTCCGTGCAAGGCAGAAATAAATGCTCACTCACCGTAACGACAGCTAAGAAACGCTTTGTTCGCCACAAATCNTTCTGGTCCCTTGCTAAAGCAGTTTCAAATAAGTTACGCCTATCCAAATTTCCTCCAATTTTCAATTCCTCTGCTACTCTTGTTTGTAAACCCCACGTAAACGCTGAAGTCTTTGCTTACCGGTTTGCCTCAAACTCCGCTGGCCAACTGCTGGAGAGTTCCAAGGCCTTGGATTGCGTCTGACACGAAGGTCTGACGTCAGAATTATCGATGTTTGGATTTCACTCGTCTCTCCTATTGTGGATCCGATAGTTCCTCAATAAGGGAACCATCTCCGTCCCAGTCGATGAGATCTTATCTCATTCCCATTGAACGTCGGTGTTCATCAATTTTTCCTACTTTGTCCCACACTGTGTTTCCAAAACCTCTAGTCTCATTCACTTTACCGATACTGCCACTCTCCATTCTTTTAATTCTTACAGCTCAACCATTTAGGTCACTACCATTCTGGATCGCGATCGCATTTAAATCAGTGCTTTGGTCATTGACTATGGGGTTTCCCACTTTTGCTATAAATCAATTAGCATGTGACGAAAAAATGACTACCGAAATATTTTGGTAACGTTCTAAGAGATATCTTCCTATATACTCTTGACTAACTCATCTTTCACCATTCCTCTCCTTAAATACTATATCAGCAATCACCAGCAGTTTCCTTCAGATGCCTCAAACGGCCTTCTTCAACTTACTGTGCTATCACTGCTTCTAGTTTCTGCGTTCTCACTTATGCTTATTGTGTCCCCCATTTATTGAAGGAAAACATACAGTGATGCAGTAGACCTTAAATTTCATTAGAACCATTCCTGAATTGCCATTTATTATGTCTTAAATACATTTTAACAAATTTCCTAAAAAAACTGGAATCCTCAGCGAATGACTTGTGCTTGCATCCGTCATAGAAGAACCCCTTATTTAACACACTTCTGATAAGTATCTATATCTATATTTCTCGGTAGCTATATCTATATCTATGTATCCATAGTATTCAAGAAATAAAGTTCGCCTTATTCCATTCATTCTTATTTACATTTAGTTTTACATGATTGTATCGTATTTTAACCGGTTTGCGCTTCCCCCCTTTAAATTCCCTGTTTTCTCTCAAAGCTTCGACTCCAAATCCCTTAACATCTTGCCCATCTACAGCGACTGATATCGCATAGCCTCTACACGACGCTTGAATCAAATATATATCACTGTAAATCTGTGTTCACTAAAGACACCTGCATGCCAAAACTACTGCATTAAAATCTACAGTGGTGCCATACGCACTATGCTAGATTTGTTTGCATCACAGAGGTAAATCATTATGGATTAACTGCAAGGTTGGCTTAGGACATCTTCTTGGGATTAAAATAATTTTTGCGCGTTCATTTTATTAATAGCGCTTTACCGTTACGTGAAAGTCACTGAACAATCACGCTTGGGTCAAACAATGCAATTACCTGACTGGACTAGACAAACTGTCGTATTTTCGCTTACAAGGTGTTTTGCTAACTGGCATATCTGTAATGAAATCTCCTTTGGCATTGAGTGGAATGCATGAAATCAGATGAAACACAAAAGTTTCAAAATGAATGGTACTATTATTTGTCCTCTTGTTTCATAACTATTTTATTTCCTTCCTGCATAGAGCAACTGGAGTTGGAACAAACTGCTTTTGATCAATGTCCTTTTGTTCAGGCTGTACAGAAAGCGAAATCTGCGGCGGATCTGGACCAGGCGAGCAAACTGCTAAAGTATCCCTCGTTCGAGATTCATCGATTAAGATCAAGCGATGGAGCAACTTATTTGCACTTTCTAGTTCACCTGTAAGTTGATCTTCTAATATAAAGTGAGATCCAGAGAAGTATTACAATTAGTTCTTGCAAGATGGGTCCGATGGGCGGTGGTAGCCCGGTGGTAACGACACTAAATTATCACCCCGGGCATATGTTCGAAAGGTACCACCACCGCCTGCCTTTCCCCATTGTGTTGAATGGCAGCCGCTTTCCCCTCTCTGAACATTGTATCATTGTGTGTATTCAATAAAAGGAAGTAAAATGATAAAAGAAGAAGACTGCAGTCATCATAAAATTAGATGAGAAAATGCAATGATATCCACCGTTCCATGTTTTCTAACTTGTAGCATACTTTCACAGTCTGCCTTCGAAACAATTACCTCAGTTTAATACAAGGAGATAGCAATGCACGTTGGACTGAACTCAAGGCTCTAGTCAATTTTTGCTCACGTCAGTTTCCTCGTTCCATATCTGGCTTAGACACATGAACTAGCGATAAGTGTTCATGCGAAGCATGTGTGCCAACCACTCACAAAAACAAGTAACTTTCTTGAAGAACTGGATTAATTGCCAACACAAATTTATGCACATTAAGAAAACCGACAGTCCATCGCATCTTCACCTCTTAGATCAGTAGTGTTATGTTGACAACAGATAAATTGAAATGTTCGCTACCAAAAATGCTTGATAAGATTAATAATTTGAGTACTGTGTTCAACATAACCTGCAAATTCAAATTTGACTACTATGTAGAAGAGTAACTTCATGAATTTGGTTTCTGTAACAAAGGTTGGTGAGAGTTATCTGCTAAATCCAGAGATTGGCTGTCAGATGCTAAGTCATGTGACATCGATGTAAGACTAAACGCTGGGGTAATTGGGCTGTTGGTAACATGAACAACTTGAATTCATGTGATTTCGGGTTCGAGCTGTCATGTTTGGTGGATGCACACCATTGACGATTTCCGAGAAGGTTGAGACATCTTTTTAATGTTTTAAATGCTTTTCAATGAGACTTGCAAACTGTTCATTCATTGGAAACGAGCTGGTGACAATCCACCTAGCAGTGGTTACCAATCAAAGCTGGCTTCGATAAGTACAAATACTGCGAGAAAAGTGATTCGTTGTTGAAATATTCCAGATTACCACACCGTCTGATTAACTTATGTGTACTGATATTGCTGTCACAAAAGATATAACTTTTGCTTTTCTTGTCATTAATAAGCTTCTTACATTGCATCATAGTTGACAATGACCCACATTCACCTAAATTGATGCCCCTGTTCTTCAAGAGCATCATGGGTGACGTGAGCATAACCTTAGCTTACAATGGCCTGTCAACCACTGACTTACAACGGTCCCGAGTTGCCGTGCCGATCTACAAATCGAGGGCGTCTAATGCGGCAGTTTCAAAACCCAGTTTGATGGATGAAGTCGAGCAAAATTGGAGTATTTCGTTGTGACGTTTTCGGCCTACTAGGTTTAATTGAGAAAGTAGATCCAAACTTGCAAAGGTTTTTACTGTGGTTAAGGGGTAGTGCCAAAAGAAATGACTGCCTATTCCTGAAGACAAACTCTGAAAAAACATGATTCGGTTGTGTTGGTATCCCGGGTAAAACTGTAGTACAGTGGTAACAAACATTCATTCCGTGGGATGGGTCTGAAGTAAAATGCCCGGACAACATTGTTAATTTGCACTGGTTACAAGATCGAATGCGAGTCAAACTCGAGTACTGTATCTCGGTATTTTGCGGTTAACTGTATGAACTGAGGATAGTGAGCGAACATAGAGTTTTAGTAATGGTCAGTGATATTTGGCCTGTTCGGCCTTTCCGTTCAACCATACTGAAGGATTTACGCATGATCCAAGTTGACTGGTGAATATATAAGGAAACGTCACCAGAACAGAACTTGACTTTGACATTCCGAATTGTCCAAATATCCCTCCAAGCACTTCCAGTATTCTCTGAATCAGTTGTCTCAGTATCCATTCTAGATTTCTATGTGACGTCCTAAAATCTCTCGTTGACCTCTATGCTGCCAGGCCCATGCACTTTTCAAGCCTTCTAGTGATAATTGTATAACCGCTATGCAGCACAGACTTCTCAACTTCCTGTTTATGCGCAGATAGACGATTGTGAGACTTACCTTGGTCGCATACGCCTCAATTTTCATTGTTATCATTCTTTAAGACAGTGCCGAACTGACGAGTGTTGTTTATTCTGAATAACTACACGAGTATGGGGCAATCGGCCTTTCATTCGCAGCAGATCAATAGTAATATCGATAAGCACACCGGAAATTTGACGGAACAGTGAGTGGTCTATAGCTAGCTACTATTCTAATTCACTCTAGCAGGGTTTTTTTTACCTTTGTGAGGAACCGCCAATCACATGCTTTTGTCCACTCAAAACATACAACTCTCAAATGTGAGTAGTACCCCACAAAACAATTTGACAGTGGAAGATCTAATGTCATTAAGACACGTGAACTGA